TTTGGTGCCATCGCTCTTGTGCTGTCATCCTAGCAAGCTTCTACTGGTAATGCTGAAGTCTCTGTTCCATGCAACGGATGTGTCCTTTGTATTTTTCAAACTGTGAGGAGCTGCATGTAACTCCGCCTGTTTGGCATATCACCTCTGCAAATATGGTCATCTCAGTGCCTATACAAAAGAAAATGGCGAGCATTTCACTCATGGAGCTTCTGTATTACCTACTGGAGTGCAACAAGAAAGAGGCGGCAAGTATGCTCACCTTCATTAAATGCATCGTTATCTATTGGAGCTATGTCAAAAGGGCTCATGCATAGTGTCCATGCAGCCTCAACAGTCTCCAGCTGAGCTGATGGTTCCCGGCGAGGTTTGGTAGACGGGTGAGCTCTGCATCTTTTTGCATTATAAAGTACGCCGTGAGGCCGTAGAAAATACTTGGCACAGCGTCGACAAAAGTTTCGGAACATTACGCAGTGACTTCACAACAACACCTCCGATTAGCCACTGGTCCACGCGAATTATGTCACTCTCATCGAAGTGCTTTTCGCACACGTGCACATTCGGAGAATCAAATGTGAAACCACTAGTTTCTTGTTGCGACATTCTGTACTTCTACTTTTTCTAAGAACTTGGAGGGTTTTTCATCATGTCCCTTGTAACCAGCTAAACAAACAGGTCCACAGCAGGTATGCGGCATCCTTCCCAGTCATCAGGCACAGCACACTAGGCACAATAGTAATCATATAGTGAAAACCGCGCAATGACATGGCACAATATTATGCAGTGACCCCATAGCAGCACCAGCAGCCAGCTTCGCTCCAGTCTGCCCGATGCCCCTCGCGGGGATGCGGCGTGCCCCGTGGCCTCCGCTCGCAGTACAAAAAGCTCTCCTATACAGTTTTGATGAAGCTTCACGACGAAAAAAAAATATTAAAGGACTCTGGTACCACCTCAGCGACAGCTCCTAAAATTATTAAGGCGAAAGCCTTAGGTACCTTATGAAACACGAAAATCGACAGTTGACAGCATCAACGTGAGTGATGCAAAAAATCATGATAATGTAATGACGTCACCATGATGTCACAGAAATTTATGATGTCACCAAAATTTATGCTGTCACGTAATGGCATCATCACGTAAGATTGTCATTAGGTCAAAGGTGAATTTTACAGTAAATTTATGTTTAAGGAGCTTGAGATGCTGTATTCACTGTGCCACAAGGTTTCAATTGTGTGAATGCCGATGTTATATTAATATGCAGGAAGGGAGATGTAAAAGACTTTGAAGAGCTATGGACCCAACAGTCTATTTGTAGTATTAAAGAAAATATTCACAGTGGTTATTTAGAATAGGTTGAGAGAAGCAGTTCATTTTAATTGGTCTAGAGAGTAAGCTGGCTTCTGAAAAGCATACTCTGTATGGTAGATGACAGTCATGTGATCAACCAGGTAATTGAGACATCCGCTGAATATAACAAGCCCTACCCTTTATATAGCTTTCATAGTTTATGAAAAAACATTTGACTCTGTAGAGTTTCTAGCAGTCGTAAAGGCATTAGGTGTGCTAAGTTAAGGAGCTCGAGTGCGCTCTAGCCAGCAGAGTGCACTCTGCCACTGTTGTAAACTTAACGGTCAGAAAGTGACATGTGGTGCGTGATTATGGAGTGTGCTTTATGCGCTCCAACCCTGAGACGGTGCACGAAAGCCTGCATGAGAGCTCATGCCTCCTATGGCTTTTGTAAGAATGACGTGTTTCTGACTCTTTCCTTTGATGAAGTGTGTTCTCTTTCCCTACTCATTTCTACCGCAGTAGCGATGTAACATTTGCTACGTAACACTTTCGTGCGCCCGAAAGCAGTCTGAGAAATTCTCAGTTAAGCTATGCTTCGAAGGTGTCGCATCTGACTGTTTCGAGCATGTTCCTTTGGATTTCAGAGCATGCTAACTTGACGAGCCTACTGTGTCACCATGGTGCTCTTGAAATGTGGATACATCAGACAACGTGTACAAGAACTCCACAGCTACGTTGCTCTTGAAAAGCAAAGAAAAATCCTCTCAATCACTTAAAGGCCAGGCAAGCAGATTCAATGTCTCCATGTTTATGTAAACAACTATATTGGGAAGAAATTAGAATAATGATTAACAGAAAATATCTTGACAACTAGCACTTTGCAGATTACATTGTGTTTCTCAGCAATACTAGAAGCGAACTTTAACAAATGGCGTGGCACCTCAACCAACAACAACAAAAAAAGCAGATCCCACGTACAGTGGGAATCGATGATATGCGAAGCAAACCAGCACATGGTGACCATGCCGGTCACGTACATGTCAACCTCCCGACTGAGCCAGGACAAACAGGAAAATGTCTTCGGGATTATTCGGCGATATTGTAGTAGTAATAACCATCTGAATCTCACGCAATGCCTAGTGAATGTAAATTGCTTATCTTTTTATAATCTTGCGAGACAACCCAAGGGCGGGAACTCCCTAGCAGAGCTTGAAAAGCTCTCTTTAACACTTTGTCGCCAGCCTGAAGTGATTCCATTTTCGGCATACGAGATTATATAGAAGATGTCAGAAGTTGGAGATGTAGACGGTGTTATATCTACACTGCAGTCTTTAAGGGGTGATCACAGTAGCTATGTCGTTCAGAAAAGGTGGCTCTTGCCACCAGGAAATCTGGAGCCATTGTCACACCGAACAGTGAGTGAGTGAGTGCCTTTGACAGGGGAGGCTTACTGTATCCTTGTGAAAGTCTGGTCAGACTGGTGAGAACGTTTGAGGATGCATTTACTTTCTTTATTTTTTTGCTGAAAAATTGCATTCCTTCAACATATATGATTTCATGAAGTTATTCGCAGAAATCAAGCTGGATAGAGTTGGCTGCAAAATTCACAGCAAAAAACTGACCGCAAAAATAGTCCAGTTTTTTTTTTTTTTTTCGCACATGCATATACAATTGTGGGCAAAATTTTTAACAAAGATAGGAGTGTCCAAAGGGAGAAAACACTTCTAACTTGGCCTCCTAAAGTAATAGGGAAATATGTGATAACAAATGTGTGTCAGAACTATGTGATCACAAATGTGCCATAAACACGTACCGTTTCTCTTGCGTGTATTTATTTTGCATCTAAGGCCATAAGTTACAAATATCATGTGTCCCAGCATAGAGAGAATGATCGCTTAAATAAGAAAGTGTCCAATGTATAAAATAGCCTCCAGATGCAACGTCTATTGCCTGTCCAAGTTTCTTAAAAAAAAAATGTGCGAGAAAATGCAAATGATTTGAATATTTCATGCTGAATGGAACCCAACTTCTTATAATTACAAAGGAATTAGGCCGCGTTCACACTGAGCATTCCTGCCGCCGAAAGTGCTCCGAATTCGGTTCGGCGGCGGCGAGATCCGCCGAAAGGGCTCTCTTCGCGCCGATCGCTCTCGGACCGATTTTAGCGGCGTCTGCCGCCGAATCGGTAACTGCGGACCAATAGGAGCGCTAGTCAAGGAATTTTGAAAAATGGCGGCCAAGGCCTACTCACTTGTTATGCCGCAGTGCACCTAACTGAATGTTGAAACCAACGGGAGTTTAACCTTCTCTGTGCCTACTTAGCTTCCGTATTTTGTGAAAGAGGTGACCGAGCTTGCTGTTGGCGTGACCGAGCTTGTTGCGGTCTTGCAGAGCGAAATGAACCCACCAACGCCGCTGGCGTCGGTGGTTTTTCTGCTCTTCGTGCATTACAAGATAGCCACTTGCCAGCGAAGTAAGCAGTACTGTCTTTTCTTGCTTCTTACGTACGAGAATCGTCAAAGTATACACCACCGGATAGCGTAGTGGCGCTTGCGAGCCGCGACAACAACCGGGTGACAGCGCATCCATTCCGCATTCGCCCCGTATTAGATGGCATATTCGGCGGCGCGGGGCACATCCAGTGCGAACGACGTTGTGTTTCGGCGGCAGGGTAATTTCGGTCACTGTAGAAAGTAGATGTTTCAGTGTGAACTAGGCATGAAAGTGGACTGGGGGGGGGGGGGGGTATATAGAAAAAAAAGCAGAACACTTCAGCCATGTATATACGCTATGAACAATTAATTGTAAAGAGTTTACATTAACAAGAGAGAAAACACTCTAAAGTCAACTTAGCTATGCATGCGAGCAAGTGATTTTTCTCAGCTGAAGCACACTAAATGCAGTAAAAGCAGTGCAAAAAGAACGCAATGTGATAATAACGGCTGAACATGTCTGTGCGGCACGCCAGTTCCGTCAGACTTTAAAGCACTCTGCGCTATTTCTTTTTTTTTTTCCAATTGCTTAATGCCACTAGGAACTTGCAGCACATTATTCTTAGTGAAATAAAACACACAGCGCCTTAAAAAGCATGGGCGCGGTGTGTAAGTAGTTTAATATGAGTGAAATTAATGTCTAGCGGCTATGTACAGTGCAGGCAGATGCGACCCCAAGAACCTATTGCACATGTAGCACCATCTGGTGTGGCCACCATCTTTCATTGTGAAATCATGCTGCCCTTTACTCTCGCCCATAATACTTCCCCGTCTGTCCACCATATATATACATTTAAACATGAGAGCGTCAGTGTCACCTGTAGCCATTGCGGGTGAGTGTGCGGAACTTTCATTTGCCTGTTGTTAGAGTAAAAAAATATGTACTAAGATATGAGAAAGGCAGACAGGGACAGCAGGTGGTTAGGTGGGGTGTTGAAATTAAGAAACTTATAGGTATAACATTGAATGAACTAGTGCAGAACAGGGTAAATTGGAGATCATTGGAAGGAGTCTTTTTCTTGCAGCGGAAATAAATAGGCTGAGTATGGTAATTTGTCTGGACCACTTTTGGTGCAGATGCTATGCGTCATCTTCTCCTGTTAGTAGGTGTTGAAGATTGCTTTTTTCATCTGAACTTTTAGTGACATAAATGGCAATGTCTATCAGTTACTCATTGCAAGACATACTTATATATTCATCTTTTATTGTTTCATTATACAGGAAGGAGGGCTCCATTGTTTTAAGAGACAGTGATAATGATGGCCCACAGGTAATCTACATAAGCAGTAGTGACAGTGACGATGAGTTCGTTTTTCACCCTGACGGAAGTTTCGAACTAAGAGAAATACCTGGTAAGCATATCCGCCAATAATCTTTTAGTTTCTCGTACTCCTTCACCACCAAATTCTTTAATGTTCCCCGTGAAAGTGTTGACATAAAAATTAAAAGAACACTTACACAGATTATCTACAAGGCTCTCATCAGCAAAGCTGAAACACAGTCTTCTTTCTAATCGTCGGTGTTGCTTTTTTACTTTTCTTACTCTCCAACTGCACGGGCTTCTATCAAAGCTTCAACTTCATGTTGTGACATTGCACTGATGGAGATCCAACAATTTAATTCAAATTCTCTACTGTGTTGGCAAATTTGGGCTTTTTTTGCGATTTACTTGTGGAAACAGGGCTCGAGCATTCTGGAGGTGTAAGATCGACGCTAACGTTCTTGAGTTTACTGTTCGTAATTTTCTTTAATTAAAAGTCAAGGGGTTTATGTTAACATATTTACTGAATGAAATAAAAAAAAATGTAAATCGCTGCTGTTATCATTTAAAGTTCACTGACTTCACTTTAGGTCTCGTTTAGGTCACATTTTCAGCAAGATTTGCTGAAGCACTGCCTTTTTGTCATTGTTCTATGTAGCATTTGTCAGTAAATTATTTGCAAAGTTTTTTTTTAAATGTTGCCACTGTATCATATTCTGGTTACTTAGAAAAAATCCTCACAGACTAAAGTGACTAAAAATTTAGTACTCTTTCACATATATTTGTAGTAATGTGCCCCCCCCCCCCCCCCCGCCTTTTTTTTATCATAGTACAGTGAAGTCAAAATGTGTAAACATAGAGGGAAAAGCAACTCAATGGCCAAAATATGGGAAAATTAGACCCCTGTGATGGCATGTATTTGTTTATATGCTGTAAATTCATATGGATGAGTAGTGGCTATATAAATATAGTATTTCATTTTGAAACAATGTACAGTAATTGTTTGAAAATTTAGTTGAAGCGCACCGAAAAGACGCGGATAGAAAGACAGTGCTTGCCAAGGAGAGGTCAGCCTCTTCTGTTTGTGTCTTTTTAGTGCGCTTCAGCCAAATTTTATACATGGACGTAATCCAGCTGGCCCAACTTGCCATCTTGCTGCAATGTACAGTAAGCCAGCTAATGAGGGCACTGATCATGAGGGCACTGATCAACTACTTAAAACAAGCAAAAAAAAGCAAAAACAAAAAAAAAGCAAAAGTGTTGTGCACTTTGCTGGTAGTTCACTCCAGTCCACAGTTAAAGGGCCCGTAACCCACCCAGAGGTCGAAATTCAGTTGTTGTGGGGAAACTGTGCGCAAGCGTACAACGAATACGAAGCCGTGAGAATTTTTCGAAACGGTGCAGTAATAGCGGAGTTAGACGTGTTTGATTATCGAAACCGTGATGACCATACCTTTTGCTCTCTCCTGCGCTTCCTCCCCTGGTATCCTCTCCCACGCTGCTTTTCCCTCTCGCCAAGCGCCCCTCCCGATCTCGCGTGGCATACGTCATCGCTGACGCGCTGCTTGAAACACCGTCTGCTTCCGGTACCCGCGAGTCCGGCCGTCGACTCGGTCAGTTACGTGCTTGTTGGCGAACTGTGGCTGCTGTAACCATGCTGATATGGAACCTGCATTGCGTGCACGCATTCAAAAGATTGCAACGCAATGGAGCATGTCCTGCACGTGCTTCACGCACGCTGGCAACACGACGAACAACAAACAGCGCAGACAGCTGCTTGCAGACTAATTGGAAGTCGTAGGCTCTTGCTCGACCAGTCACAGCATATTTGGCATATTTGCCTCGGCGCGTCAGAAATGCGGCATTGTGCGTCACACGGAAGCCTGAAAGGCCCGGAAAGTAAGAGTGATTGTTTCTTGGAATTTGTGGCGCGCTGGTAGCTCGTAGCGCTGCCACGCGCAGAATCATTGATCGCAACAGCATTCTGCACACGATGCGCGTGTTTATTTGAAATGCTTGTAAAAATATCGGAGGTGGTTTACAGGCCCCTTAATACAAGCAACAGTGGTTTATCGTTTTTCGTTGGAAATAGAATGCATGCAAGTTTGGTTGTAAGGGCTGTTTATTGAGGCATGAACGCAGCAGTGAATGCATAGAACTTGAATCTAATAGATCATCAGACAGAGCTTGGCAGAAGAGACATGATGTTGTAAAGGACTAATGCTAAATGTATTGCTATGGGTGAGAGGGGAGCTTTAAGAAACTATGCAAGAACATTCAACTAGCTTCTTCTGTAGTGACTAGACTTGTGGCCATAGGCACCAAGAGAAAGAGAGAGAAACTAAGGGGAAAGGCAGGCAGGTTAACCAAGATTTAATCAGAGGCACATAGTTTTCATTTTACCAGGCTTTGGGAGACATAAAGCATGAGATGCCAGATAAAACATGAGATGAAGTAACAATGCCGTGCGCCCGTCGGTCCGTGGACCCGCCAATGCGCCCGTCGGTCCACGAACCATAGCGATACCTATCAGCGGGTCGACGAAACGTCAAGCAAAAAAAAAAAAGTGTTACCGCAGCCACCATTGATTCACAAAAATATGAAATTCTCAGTCGGCAAATGAGGGTATGGCATGTTAATAACATGCGCTGCGTTTTCTGCTCGCAAACAAGGTAGATGTTTGCGAATGCTGTCATTGCCAGCCAACCATTGTTTGTTGCCATAGGACGACACATAAATCATTTTTCTGGCTTGATGTTGCGTCATCCCGGTTGATGGTACATCGTCGCCGGCCAATTGGGCGGCAAATAGCCTTCTGGGTCAAACGCCCCTGGCAAGCAAATGCCGAGAAGTTGGGCCCTAACCCTAACCCCATCGTCCCAGGGAAAACAAAGTAGGGTTTGGGGGGGGGGGGGGGGGGGTGTAAGCAGTTCAACAAATTTCCCTGGCCTAGTTCTAACCTGAGGAGAAATGCCTGCTTAAGCCTACCTTGCCGCAGTATTTTGGTGTTTGCTGAAAAGTGTCTCGTGATTTGGAAGGAGCTGTTCGCACGAGTCTCTGAACGCAGCACATTTTACATTTTGTTAAATTACTCATGCGTGTATGCACTGTGTAATTGTGAGTACTAGTGTGATGGCTGGCGTCTAAAAGAGTTTCTCGCAATCATTTAAAGCAGCGAATGACACTTCTGCTGCCCCCCCCCCCCCCCTCCTCAAAGAAAAAAAGAAAACCTTGTGCACCAGTTTTTCTTTCACTATCCCTACTTCCCGGTTTACTAATCTCCTGAATTTCAAGGTCGCCAGCTTGGCAGAGCCGCATTTTAATTTGCAGGGTGTCGAAGGATTTGCAGGCATGGCAAATGCTAATTTGGACTGCATTGTTTGCTCAGTGGGGTATTTCAGAATACTACTATTTATTGAAATAGCAGTGCTTATGTTCACTATGCACGATTTAGGTGGGTTGAATGTTTTGCACATTTATAAATGTAAGCCTTCTTTTTCGTACTGCTCCAAACTTGATGTTTTATAAAGAAACTCTTTACTGTAGCCTGCTCTAAATATGGATTTTAGTGCTCCAAAAGTAGCATTTTGCTGCTCCAAAAATTGCTCCAAATTTTATTTTGGCTGTTGCACCCCTGCTTTGTGGGTGTTACAATTTTCAATTTCAAAGAGTCATGAACTCAGTTTTTTTTTTTTTTACTGTACAAATGACCTGATTTAAACTACATAATTAGAACAGGGTCCCCCCCAGTTACTGGCTACTTGGTAGTTCGCTCGTTTGATCTTTCTGTTTGTGTCTTTTTAGTGCGCTTCAGCCAAATTTTATACATGGACGTAATCCAGCTGGCCCAACTTGCCATCTTGCTGCAATGTACAGTAAGCCAGCTAATGAGGGCACTGATCATGAGGGCACTGATCAACTACTTAAAACAAGCAAAAAAAAAAGCAAAAACAAAAAAAAAGCAAAAGTGTTGTGCACTTTGCTGGTAGTTCACTCCAGTCCACAGTTAAAGGGCCCGTAACCCACCCAGAGGTCGAAATTCAGTTGTTGTGGGGAAACTGTGCGCAAGCGTACAACGAATACGAAGCCGTGAGAATTTTTCGAAACGGTGCAGTAATAGCGGAGTTAGACGTGTTTGATTATCGAAACCGTGATGACCATACCTTTTGCTCTCTCCTGCGCTTCCTCCCCTGGTATCCTCTCCCACGCTGCTTTTCCCTCTCGCCAAGCGCCCCTCCCGATCTCGCGTGGCATACGTCATCGCTGACGCGCTGCTTGAAACACCGTCTGCTTCCGGTACCCGCGAGTCCGGCCGTCGACTCGGTCAGTTACGTGCTTGTTGGCGAACTGTGGCTGCTGTAACCATGCTGATATGGAACCTGCATTGCGTGCACGCATTCAAAAGATTGCAACGCAATGGAGCATGTCCTGCACGTGCTTCACGCACGCTGGCAACACGACGAACAACAAACAGCGCAGACAGCTGCTTGCAGACTAATGGAAGTCGTAGGCTCTTGCTCGACCAGTCACAGCATATTTGGCATATTTGCCTCGGCGCGTCAGAAATGCGGCATTGTGCGTCACACGGAAGCCTGAAAGGCCCGGAAAGTAAGAGTGATTGTTTCTTGGAATTTGTGGCGCGCTGGTAGCTCGTAGCGCTGCCACGCGCAGAATCATTGATCGCAACAGCATTCTGCACACGATGCGCGTGTTTATTTGAATGCTTGTAAAAATATCGGAGGTGGTTTACAGGCCCCTTAATACAAGCAACAGTGGTTTATCGTTTTTCGTTGGAAATAGAATGCATGCAAGTTTGGTTGTAAGGGCTGTTTATTGAGGCATGAACGCAGCAGTGAATGCATAGAACTTGAATAATAGATCATCAGACAGAGCTTGGCAGAAGAGACATGATGTTGTAAAGGACTAATGCTAAATGTATTGCTATGGGTGAGAGGGGAGCTTTAAGAAACTATGCAAGAACATTCAACTAGCTTCTTCTGTAGTGACTAGACTTGTGGCCATAGGCACCAAGAGAAAGAGAGAGAAACTAAGGGGAAAGGCAGGCAGGTTAACCAAGATTTAATCAGAGGCACATAGTTTTCATTTTACCAGGCTTTGGGAGACATAAAGCATGAGATGCCAGATAAAACATGAGATGAAGTAACAATGCCGTGCGCCCGTCGGTCCGTGGACCCGCCAATGCGCCCGTCGGTCCACGAACCATAGCGAATACCTATCAGCGGGTCGACGAAACGTCAAGCAAAAAAAAAAAGTGTTACCGCAGCCACCATTGATTCACAAAAAATATGAAATTCTCAGTCGGCAAATGAGGGTATGGCATGTTAAGAACATGCGCTGCGTTTTCTGCTCGCAAACAAGGTAGATGTTTTGCGAATGCTGTCATTGCCAGCCACCATGTTTGTTGCCATAGGAACGACACATAAATCATTTTTCTGGCTTGATGTTGCGTCATCCCGGTGATGGACATCCGTCGCCGGCCAATGGGCGCAAGCCGTTCTGGTCAAACGCCCCTGGCAAGCAAGCCGAGAAGTTGGGCCCTAACCCTAACCCCATCGTCCAGGGAAAACAAAGTAGGGTTTGGGGGGGGGGGGGGGGGGGTGTAGCAGTTCAAAAATTTCCCGGCCTAGTTCTAACCTGAGGAGAATGCTGCTTAAGCCACCTTGCCGCAGTATTTTGGTGTTTGCTGAAAAGTGTCTCGTGATTTGGAAGGAGCTGTTCGCACGAGTCTCTGAACGCAGCACATTTTACATTTTGTTAAATTACTCATGCGTGTATGCACTGTGTAATTGTGAGTACTAGTGTGATGGCTGGCGTCTAAAAGAGTTTCTCGCAATCATTTAAAGCAGCGAATGACACTTCTGCTGCCCCCCCCCCCCCCCCCCCTCCTCAAAGAAAAAAAGAAAACCTTGTGCACCAGTTTTTCTTTCACTATCCCTACTTCCCGGTTTTACTAATCTCCTGAATTTCAAGGTCGCCAGCTTGGCAGAGCCGCATTTTAATTTGCAGGGTGTCGAAGGATTTGCAGGCATGGCAAATGCTAATTTGGACTGCATTGTTTGCTCAGTGGGGTATTTCAGAATACTACTATTTATTGAAATAGCAGTGCTTATGTTCACTATGCACGATTTAGGTGGGTTGAATGTTTTGCACATTTATAAATGTAAGCCTTCTTTTTCGTACTGCTCCAAACTTGATGTTTTATAAAGAAACTCTTTACTGTAGCCTGCTCTAAATATGGATTTTAGTGCTCCAAAAGTAGCATTTTGCTGCTCCAAAAATTGCTCCAAATTTTATTTTGGCTGTTGCACCCCTGCTTTGTGGGTGTTACAATTTTCAATTTCAAAGAGTCATGAACTCAGTTTTTTTTTTTTTTTACTGTACAAATGACCTGATTTAAACTACATAATTAGAACAGGGTCCCCCCCAGTTACTGGCTACTTGGTAGTTCGCTCGTTTGATCTTTCTCTGGTGTGCTGCATTTGACTTTTCTCAAGAAAGCTTTGCTCACTTTGTTAGTCCAGACTTGATGTGTCATATATTTCTTTGCTAGTGCAAGTTTCTGTGTTGTTTGTATGTGCTATAAGGAAGCTTGTTCATTTTGTGCTATTGTATTTCTCTATTTCATATGCGAGCAGCCAAAAAAAATAAACTTGAAAAGCAAGAGCCCACTGGCCAAGAAGAAACAGCGGGAACAAGCACATCGCCCGAAGCACAGCTGCCCTCTGTGGATCCACGGCGTGCAAGACAGTTGGTTGCACCAATCATCTGCAGCAACCATGGTGTCTTCTATAATGCTGTGCTCAACCAGACTTGTCTCGAAAAGAATCGGAACAAATTTTACTACATGCAGCTTGTGAGGGATCTGTGCAATGACAACCACTACGTGTGGTTTAGCTGGGGCCGTGTTGGAGAAAGTGGATCAATAATTTTGATCCCCTATCAGAAAGACATCTTGAAAGTGCAGTTACTGTTTGAAAGAAGGTTAGTGAGCTTTTATATTTAAGCAATGAATGGATGTGGAAAATCTGTGAAAATTTTATTATTTAACAGAAGTGATAACATAATGCCCACACATTTTGGAAATTGCAGCTTCTACTCGAAGACCGGCAATTGGTGGGAGGTATGGGCGAAAGACAGGAAATTTGAAAAGAGGAAGGGGAAGTACGACATGCTCAAAATGGACTACTCTGGTTCTGTAAGTACATGAATGTCACAGCTTGAAGGTTGCATATGTTCACTGAAAAACTTTTTGCACTTAAAGAAAACCCAAGAAGAGAATATTCAGCAGCTGTATGAGGACATTGCCAATAATTTTGCATCAAGCAGGCTCAAACCCAATTTACTGGTTGGTTCATTTTCTCTCTTGGTGTATGCTTGTTATTCTAACCACAAAGAGGAGCAGCCAGCTTACTGTGTTCTAACTTTTTCAGAAACTCATGTCTCTGATATTTGATCTCGAAGAAAATGAAAGAAACTGTTGTTGATATGAAGTTTGATTTGGTAAAATTACCCTTGCGTGAGTTCCTTATCATGGCTCGCTACAAATTCACATGTTTTTTATAACTTCTAATGCATTTGTTTGTGTTGTGTTACAGGAATGCTCACAAAGGAACAGATCCTCACAGGTTATAAGGCACTTCATAAGATTGAAGATTGCATTAAGAGGGAAAGCGACAAAAGTGAACTTGTAGAGGCCTGTAGTGAGTTTTACACCTGCATTCCTAATTTATTTTCGTAAGTACTAAAATAGAAAATAAAGGCCACAGTTATAAAGCAAAGCATATAATAATAAGAGTGCTTTTTTCAGGCGAAGGGAAAGGCCCACTTTGATTTGTACTGATCTACTTGTACAACAGAAGATGGAGCTGCTTGAGGTGGGTGCACAGTATGGTATAGAGGCTTTGGTTTGATTACAATCAGATGCTGCAGCACTCCCTTCGTAGTTCGCAATTGTAGTCACACTAGTAGAGTGCCGTGTCAGTATACCATTTTTCAGTATCTGCAAGTGAGCTTTCCTGCGCTTATACATTCACCCCAACTAATGGCAACACCAGCTGTGCTTCAGGTGGAGAGTGAGGTCCTAAACGCGTGTAATGTGGCTGGTCTGTTATGTGTGTTGATGTCAAGAGAACTGAGTCTACATTTTCTTCATCATAATGTCAGCTCACTGCGCCTGAACACACGCCTGCAGAAGCGACTAGCCTTCATTAGTTTGGCAATCTGCATCGCAGAAAAGCTAGCTTTACAATAAAAAGGGGGGTATTCTTGAGTGATTGCTCTTGTCTTTTTGGTTCATTCTGGAGTGAGAGCATGCACTCGTGCATAAGGAATATGTTAACTTATTATAATTAATATATTAGGTTTTCAAGAGTTTTTGTATTGCTAAGGGATCGAACTTGACATTTACTGCCACAAAGGTACCTGCATATTGTGTTGATAAATTATTTTGTGTGTGTGTGTAGATGGGGGAGGGTGGGAAACCATGGTATTTTACTTTACTTTTCATTTTAGCACATGTACAAACTCTGCAGAAATATAGTTGGTATCTATAGAAGCTTCAAGAAGACATACCGTGGCAGGTTTGCTGTAAGTACACGCTGCATGCAAGTCAGCAGCCAGGAACTCAGTGGAGATAAAAATTATGCTACATAGTTTTAATGGAAGTGTAGTTATGGTTTAACTGCTTCAGCTTACAATATTTTCATTCTTTTCTCTCAGAAAAACTCTCTATGTTAATGATTGTTTGGGAAGAAATGTACTGAATAACCCTACATCTAGTGTTACTCGAAATGTGCAAAGGGTAAATAGTTCCCTTAGCAATGAAAGCGGTTCATGTTAGTAAGACCATAGAGGGCTCTTATTTATGTTGCTGTGCTTCAAAACAATGAATTGGGTGCTGGCTTCATAGTGTCTCATAAGCAGAAACAAAAAAAGGTTGAGGGTCCTCTGCTGGATTCGCTTGCTGCAAGGGTCCAGGTCAGTATCTTGGTGGTAGGACCAGGCCATCAAGATGCAATGAGTTAGTTTTTAATGATTATCATAGAAATGGTGGTTGGTGCACAACACGAAAATGATGCATAATGTAACTGTGCAAAAAACGGGCGGAAACAAGAAAGGAGAGAAAAGGACAAATAAGCGCAGATAAAGATGATGCACTAACAGTAGACCTTCATTACTGTGTTACCTTCCTGTTTGTAATAACGAGAACTATCAACTAATGTTTATTAGCTCTCGTTAATACTCTATCTAACAAAGAAACGAGCCCTTAAATCCACAGTTCTTCCCTTCCTTTATATAGTCATGATGAGCAGTCTTTATGACAGTCAGTGAACTATTGCTATTGCTAGTCAGTGAACCAGTCACTATTGGCTCTGCTGTGCACATGCTAAGGCTTTCTAACTCTTGTTTCCACGCCTATTCAAATCAATCACTGGTGATCGACGCTTTTCGGTCATCAATTTTGGCATGTTAAGTTTTTTTTTCTCGTGCACCCAGCACTTTCTAGTAGTTAGTTCAGCCACTCAACTTTCAGATTTTTTTTGAATTTGCCGACTTGGACAACAAGCGATTTTTTATTTACAGAATTTTGCGCAAACCAATGTGCATGTGTAGTTGGAAAAATGCACTAGGTTGGCGAACTTGACAGAAGTACGGGCCCCTCGTGAATATGCTACAGTAACACCGAAGTTCTGTAATGAAAAGAAACTTTGCAAGCCAAATATCGAATTGACGTGTTAGCTTCGCAATTTGACAGAGTTGAGCAGTAATAATTGTCGGAAATTGATGCCAGCTAATCAATACCAAGCTGTTCTCAGAAGTCTGGGAAAATTAATTCGACAAAAAATATTTACCAAGATCCGCCGCATGTATAAAGTGTGCAGGTGGCTCTCACAGCCAGTTTTCAGCCGCTTTGGTTTTACTTGTGTCGTTATATCAGACAGGGTCACATCTGGTGTCACTAATCGCTCCTATTAGGCAACGGTCAGGGCGCATGGGTGCGTATCAGCACTGCAAAACACATTTGGTTTTACTTGTGTCGTTATATCAGACAGGGTCACATCTGGTGTCGCTAGTCGCTCCTATTAGGCAACGGTCAGGGCACATGGGTGCGTATCAGCACTGCAAAACACTTGCACTGCTTGAAACTGTCTTGCGATCCCACCTGAATGGAGTGAGAACGAGCTGAGATTTCGTGGATGACAGCACCTCAGCTTCAAGTTTTATGGGTACGATGTTTTGCGTAAGCCTGAGACATCTGTCGTCGTTCATGGGTTTGTTTTGTTTATATCCTCCGCGGCAATTGCATATAGCTTCTGACCTTTGTGCATGATCCTATAGTTACTCAAGGTACGTGCATGGTCCACTTTTTTGCTAGGGCACGGTGTGGTGGCGCTGGCTGCTGAGCTTCTCCTTACGGCAAGAACGCCCCCGGAGCACATCTTGGCCCAGACTATAGAGCAGTGCGAAACATTTTGGGACTGCATGCGATATTGTCCTTTTTTTATTACGATACATGTGCAAAGAGGCAAAGGAATATACTTGAATGCATATATTGGAATGTTAATCTATGCGGAGTGAGGTGGCTCATAGAAAGAGGTGACGCTAGACAAAATAGTGAAGTTCAATGGACATCTCATTTATAAAGGTATATTAACATCACGGGTATCCATCTATAATGGAGTACTTAGAGACTCTTATGCAAAGCATTGAAAGTTCACTGAGAACAGTGTACGAGTACACTTGTGTCTCAGAAAAATCATGCGATACTTCACCACATGGCCTGAGCAATGAAGCAGCACCTCGGTTCTGATTTTCTTTGTCTATGTAAAGAGAAACATTTTGTACATCATTAATTATTTTTATACTGCTTCTGAGTCGTTTATTTACAAGATGTATATTCTGAATTTTTCTTGTTTTGAATATTTTTGCATATATAGTGTTTTTAATTCCCCTGTTTACAAGCTGGTGAAGAAAGTTTTCGCACTTTTCACATTTTTTTTTCTTAAATATTTTTGTTGCTCTACAACCTATATTTTTTGGAAAAAGCATTTCATTCTGCAAAGTTTGGTATGCTGCAATGCGTGCTGGAGTACTTTTCAAACTGGCAAAAACGATCTTCCTGAGACATATGAAAAACAACCGTTCTCGCACGGTAACAAAAAAGCTTAAGAAGCTTGGATGTTTCAGTTCAGTCAAGTGTGCATTTTTGTGTTTCTGGATATTGCCCATGGACCCGTATTTCATGCTTCATGTTACTTATTTGAAAATTATGAATTTGACACCTGGGTGTCTAGTTTTTCTGCACAGTTTACTACACAACAAACAATGTTGGTGTAATTCTATTTTCCTATTTGTGTTTTGTCAAAACGATGGGCACAAACTGCGAAACCACCTACAGTATACTTATATGGTCTTATACTCAAATGACATTTTGTTGGCAAGCTTCTAATATAAATTTTTTTAATTGCATCATTTCTGCTATTTGTGACCTAGACAATTTTTTTCCCTTTCATTTGTGAAGCTACAATATATTATCAAAACTCAGACAGTTTAACTATTTTGCATTGCACCTTTGAAACACTCTTCTAAAATATGCACCATTTTTTAATGAATACTTGATGCCACGGGTGCATTTGGGCTATTTATCACTCTATTGGCTTCTGTAGCCATGTGGCAGTAAAATTCTTGGACATGATTCTTTCTGGCCCCTTTATGCCAAAAGCGAGGCTCAGATAAAAGTTTCAAGACAAGCTAAATTAGCATGTTCAAATACAATACTTCTCTGTACTACACATATTAACCCTTTAATGCCTGAATTATGAAACTGCCAAACAAAATAAAAATTGTTTCCATTTACCAGCTTTATATAGTAAGCTTTAAATGATTCCACAGTTAGATGATCTAAAATGCAACTTTAATGCATATATATATGTATGTTGCGAATTCTCCATATACTACAAAAATGAGGACCTTGCCACAATAAATGTACTTCAGAAGTATCATATTTACTCGCTTAATGAACGCACTTGCATAATAAATGCACCTCCAACTTCAGTCGTCAAAATTTAGATTTTTTTTCTACATAATAAACGCACCCCCTACATTCATCGACACTTTGTGCCTCCTCACCCATTGGATCTCTTCCATTTTTTATTATTAGGCCAACCCCCTTGCCACCTTGTCTCGCTCCCTCTCCCTTCTCCTGTTGCTGCGTGCCGTATCGTTTTTCTTTCTAGATGCGCGCGGCACGTCCGCAGTCTTTTTTTATCTGTGCGCCACAGCGGGGTTCACGAATGGTGCGAGTGTAGAGACATCGCAGCTGATAAGCGAACAGCGAGCAAAGGTCACGAAACTGCCCGCGCCAACCGACAGCAGCTTCCTGCGAATACGAAATGGGCCCAACCACGTGCACGCGAGTTTCGAGCGACCACGACAGGATTTGCTCTCGCGAAAGGTCATTCGTCGCTATCGCGTCGCAGGTTTTTCGAAAACCAGAAAAAGTCCCTTGTTGCCCAAAAAATATTGTGACAATTTCCACAACATGGTAACACCCCCGATACTCGCTTTGCTTGTTCTCCACGCGTACAGGAGTTTCTCATGTGGAAGTGAGGTGGCGGCCATATTTTGCAATTAATCTATGGATGGTTTGTTTTGATGCTGCGGGGGTAGCCTGCTGCAGTGTTGGTTACTTGCTACAATGTAAACGGCAGCGGCACAGTCAAAGCGAGGTTGCTGCGAAGTTGGCAAAGTGCACCGTAGTGCATGCTTCTGGGTGCCCCTTGTGATAACAGCAGATACCACTGTTGCGGGTAAACGATTGCGTTAGAAGATAGTGACAAAACGCTTTTATGGTATGCACCGGCAGTGCGGGGAC